GGTACAGTACATTCGAAGTGTCCTGTTTTACTATATTACCTCAAGCCCCGTGACACCAAGGGCGTCTCCCATCCCATTCAGTTTCAGTTAGAGGATTCCATATCCTGAGATATAAAAGGGTGTCCCCCATCCCGTGAGGGTTCAAATCTCTTGACAGAAATAACGTCCCGACCCACGGATAGAAATGGTGTACCAATTCTGTGACAAAAATAGCGTGCCCATCTCTTGATACCAAACGTGTCCCTTATCCCGTGACACAAACTTTCCTACCCCGTGAAATTTGGAGCGTCTCCACCCAAAGAGGGCGTCTTATAATGAGCGTCCCCTATCCTTTACACAAAGGATAACCCACATCCCGTACTCCATAATGCAAAGGACACCCCCCTCCAAGTGATAGAAAAAGTTCACCCATTGACACATTCAAGTCACCCTTATTTCAGCGTATGGAATATATAGTGATTGTATCTATGACAATTGGAATGATATTGAAGTTTGCCTGGAGAATATTGCCGGACGATTGAATAACGCTTTGATAAAACACCCCGATGATCTAGACCATTCCATCTCTTCACGGTATTGCAGGTAAATACGTATAGTCGTTACAGTTTGATTGGAATACATTCTGATCACAGAAAACTGCCGTCGTGTTTAGTAAAACTCTCTGTAGCAATATGCATCCATATTCGATTCTTTGGTGTGGTTTTGTACTGGAGAGTATTGCTTTTCTGCGAAAAATGGAGTAATAGATGGCATATCACGTGAATAGTTGTCGTGGACATGCAATGTTTTTCTTTTAAACTCAGAAGTTCTGAAACCGGCTAAAATCGGCTAAACAATAGGCTACCCTTTGAAAACCGCTTATTCATCTTCTGTAACGTGTTGGTTTTAAATCCCTCCCTACCGCACCTATCGCCCCAACCGCTAATAAAAATTTGCCGTAAAATTAGTAATTAGTTTTTTGCATAATAAAACGAAACAAATCAAAAGCCTATTTCTTTTCTCATTCTAAGATATTTACAACAATAATCTAATTTAAAACACACCTTCATTTCAGTTTTGTTCAAGATATTTTAAAATGTTCTTACAATCATATGGCAGCTGTGTGTGGACACGAATCTGGTCAAGTTATGAGATATTTAGTCAGAGATTACCTTCCGATCAAAGCTGTCCAAACATGTGTTGATGAAACGCTCCACGCACCTTTTGGTTATGATGACGTCAGTTCCGGTGGAGATGATGCATTGTTTTTAGGTTTAACTGCACTGGTTGTAGGGGGACTTATGTTGTTTATTTCCATGGCTGTTATGTAAAAGAATAAAGCTCCAGCAAAATTTGTTACCAAGTGGATGTATGGTAGTTTTGCTTAGAAATATACTCGTTCGTAAAGCACTAGCATTTTACATTTAAAATCGTTTCTAAAACGTTTGCTTAGTTCAAGGGAGGTAACTTGTGTTGAAATTGGTATTTGGAAAGAGGTTTCACAGGAAACCTTAGTTGAGGGGGCGAGCAGGGACACAGAATTTTCAAGGGGGCCACAGTCTACTCTGCTACTCTGCACCCCAGCATCATTTTCTAAGAATTTACATCCGTACATTTATTACATTCAAGG